CTTATGTAATTACACCATTGACAGGAAGGCTGTGCTGTACAACTACGCTGTAGCATTTGTTTAGTAAAACAATTTGAAAGTAATATAAAACCGGAATTCTTCGTTTTTGTATTTGTATTTATGAAACTGACAACAAAACGAAGTGGAAAAAAGAGCCAGTCAAAGTGCTTTTGGGGTAAAAGTCCAAGTAAAAATTGAATAGATGGCTTACTTAAATCGCATACATTAGTATGAGAAGCCTGATGAGTTATAAATTCTGGTTAAAAAATATTATATATATCATATTACATTTAGGTTCTACACTGAGGGTATTGTGTGTGTTGTTTGAAGAGGGTCCTTTCCCCAGCTGGGAACTGTACCAGGTGGACCTTCATATTCATGGATGTACTTCTTGCTTGTTCATAAGTTTCACTTCAGGCCTTGTGACTGTGGCGTCATTTTGAAAATTTTGCACAACCTTAAATATGTGGAAGTTATACTTGAGACTTCTCTTAACACTCAGACACTAAAGACACAGTGATCTGTGCAAAAAGTTGTTTTTTTTTAAGTGACTTTTGCTATGTAGATGAGGCCAATGAGCCATCTCAGTATAAAACCCCTGGAGACAACATCAGCACCAATTATAATCTGGTAGCATACTTGAACACTCAGTTCAAACAGAAGTGTTCAGTGGAATCACTTCACTGTCTTTAGTTTTGTATATTTGCTCTTAGTCATTGTAAGAAAACTGAGCAAACACTCTCCCTTTTTGTATTTTGAGGCCTGTTTGTTGATTCTTGTATGCCTTTTTCAGCTTGTTGCCAGCCCTTCTGATAACAAGTGACGTAAACCAACATTTACAATCATGTTTTTCCGCGTTCTGACTGAGAAGCAGATCAAGACAGTGAAATTGTGAAAAAAAGGCCTTTTAATTTGGGAAAAATTACCATGTATGAATCTAGGAAAATAGTTGTGGCTTCTGTTAACCTTTTAGAGTAAATGTTGGATTTTAATAAGAAGAATTAAATATCAGGGGCTCTCATAAACAAGTTCAGTTGTGCTCATATTTCACTAAATGCCTATTCTTTGTTTTGATTTCCATCTTTTTGTTGTTTTCTTTTTGTCAACATGTAACACAACTCTGAAAATATTTTGGCCTGTGTCGTGCCAGAGTCTCTATGTGTGGTTTTTATGAAACTAAGGTCTGTTTCTGACTGGAAACTTGAGCTCTTTGCCAGGCAGGTTGTTTTCTCAGTGTGTTAGTGAGCATCAGTCTCATCAAAGGTCAGGTGACATCCTGTCTTCTCGTGTCATCGTCTATGTTTGTGTGTTTGCAGGCCTGCTGTTGCTGCTCATCTACCTGTGTGCCGGGGTAGCAGCCATGTTTGAATCCACACTGGACGCACACTGGGAGCTGTGGAAGAAGACACATGGGAAGAGCTACAAAAATGATGTATGTGACAAAAAGTAGTAATAAATATTTTTTTGAAGTGTTATATTTGTATAGACAAACTCTGCACAAGGCTTATAATTAACTTATACAGCATTTTCACCTCATCTGCTCTTTCTTTATGTGAGGTGGAGAATGCTCACCGCCGGGAGCTGTGGGAGAATAACCTGAAGATGATTACCGTGCACAACCTGGAGGCCTCAATGGGACTTCACACCTATGAACTGGGCATGAATCACATGGGAGACCTGGTGAGACACTCTCTTGCTTCACTAATGTTTTTGACTTATGATATTTTTTATTCATTAATGGTGATTGTATTAATGATGTTGAAAAGGTCAACAGGATCAAAGCTGATCCATATTGAAGAGTAGCTGGGTGTGTGATGGATGATAGATTACTGGCAGAAAACTGAGGCTACAAGTGGCTCAAAAGTCTTTGTGTTCAGACCCAACAGAGTTATGTCAAAACACTTGACCATCATTTTCCACATAAAACCTCCACAGTGATGCTGGCTCAAAACCTCATGCCACAGTTATATGATCAGTTTCCACCTGCCCCTCAAAATACTTTTTTCACTTCCTGCGTTTACATCTACACTTCTGCAGCTCACATTTTTAGCTTCTGTAGAAGCACCCTTTCTTCCCTTGTTGCCTTCTCTCACGTTTAAGCTAATGAATGAGAAACTAGAAGTTTACATCAAGAAATATCTCGAGCTTTATGACCCAAAAATTAAGTCTGGTGAGATGGAGCTCTGGAAAATTATTCTTGAGGTGAAAAGTCTACACTGTTAAAAAAAAAAATCCTAGAAAAACAGTAATATTCCTGCAGCTGGGGCGCCAAAGTAATAACATACAATAACAGAAAATAACTTTCTCATAAAAATACAGTTATTTTCAGTAATGATAATACAGTTTGTTGCCCTAATTTTACATGGGATTTTGCCTTTCTCAAGTGCTTTTAAACATTAAATTAGGAACATTTTAATGTGATCAAACAATGAAATTACCTATAAACAAGGTCAATGAATGTGGCAATATGAATAACAATACTTAAATGTACAGAAACATACTGTTAACAGTTGGTTTAAATAATAATGGATTGCATACCCTGGCACAGACTGAGAGAGGCGAGGCTGCCATATCGCACCATCTGGCCATCACCAGTAGGTGAAGAGTCTTGACCAAGGACACAATGACCAAGAGTGTCCGAGCAGGGGCTTGAAACAGCAACCTTGTGATTACAAGGCGAACTGCCAACGCTTGAGCCACGATGGCCCTAAGTAGCAATAATAGTAATAATTATTTTATGTAAACAACGTTTATAGGAATCATGTTATATATTTTGCCATAGCATTACATTTGAATTCAACAGTTCAATCCTTCAAATAACGGACAAATATCTGTGCAATCATGATACATTTGTGAATGTATTTTAACAATCTATATATGCATATGTACAGACAAAAAACAAAAAAATTATGTTTTATTACATTTACAGTGATTTTACGTTAATTTACATTTGAAATGTGAAATCACAGTCGTTTTATGTAAATTTAATGATATTCTAGAAGAACAGAACGAAACTGTAAAATACAAGTAAAATACTTTTATATTAGGACTTGTTCGTACAGTGTAGCTTAAATCAAAAAGACAGCCACCATGGCCTTTTGTTGTCTTGCAACATGTTTGGTCTTCCTGTTGACACATCCTGTTAGTGCTTGGAGCGGCACTTGATGCACCACAATGTTTTTACAGCTTCAGCTGCCTGCAGCTTGGTTAGTAGTTGGATTAGATGCAAAGTTTGATTATGAAATTAAACATCAAAATGGCTCTAATGAAGTCAGGGAGATTATAACATATAAATATTGCATAGGGGAGATTTATATGAAAAATTAAAGCTTTTAGAAAGTTTATAAAGCACATTGAAGTTGAAAACTTTGATAACTGTCTGCCAGCTGTGACTGGCTTTTGTTTCTTATTTCATCATTGCCATTTTCTTTCTCATAGACAGAAGAAGAGATCATGCAGTTTTTTGCCAGTCTCACTCCTCCCACTGACATCCAGAGGGCGCCGTCTCCCTTTGCAGGGGCATCAGGTTCTGGCATACCAGACACCATGGACTGGAGAGAGAAGGGTTGTGTCACCAAAGTCAAGATGCAGGTAAAAAAAAAAAAAGAAAAGAAGAGGGCATTTCAATCAATGTATATGTATTAGTGCTGCTGAGAAGAGCAAAAACATTTGATGTCTCATAGCCACACAGGCAGTAGTGTCAACATATCCCCCATTCATCCTGTTCCTTATTCTTTGAAAAGGTTCATGTTTACACAGGATGTCATTACCACAGTTGCTAGTTTAGCAATTATTTGGTCACATCCATTTGTCTTGGTGCAAAGAAGGTGGGTAGCACGGTCTTACAGGGTTTTTTTTTTAACCTAGATACTTTCAAAACTGTCTCGTTATCTTAGTTTTTGGATGATTAATATACAAAAATTAAGGTGAAATAAGGAAATATATGTCTTAATGTTCTGCCTTTTCTTTCTGTATGTAAATAGTCCATTCCAAAGCTTCACTTTATTTGTCTCTAGAAACGTTTAGTGCTAAAATATGCATTACTTTAGGGTATTTTAAATCCATATGACTTTCTGTGCTGAAATTGCTTTGCGTGGAGTCTAAAGGGAAAAATCATAAAGATAAAAATAATAATTTTAAAAGAAAGAAACAGATTTTGATGCCCAATTTATTATTAACTTGTGTTGTGCAGATGAATATCATTTAACCAGAGACACACACATATTGATTTTGGCATTGCTTCTGTTCTGTGCAACGCGGTAAATGTAACTGACCAAAAAACATTCTCATTTAGTCACTTGAGTGCTTTAACCTCCTACACCCTGCTGGACCCTTGCTTCACCAACACCTCTACAAACGCCTGTTGAGCTGCCAAACACAGAAATGTGTAAAATGATGCACAAGGAATTTATTCTATTTCTGTCTGATGTAGTGACAAGCTACAGGAACATTGTTGAAGGGGGATTTTTCACTCTGTCTTTATTTATTATTATATCAATGAATTGTATATATTAAATCAAAATCAAGATGGATTTCTTTATGGATTTCTAAGAAGTGTGGAAAGAGACCAGAAAGGAAAACTCAAGCAACAGAACTAATATAAAGAACACCTTTGTTGCCAGACCAGTGTGTTTCAGCTTGTTTATTTTGTCACAGCTACAAGTGCAGTCAGATGTGTAATTTGGGGTCAAAGTTTTACAACCGTAATTCCAAAGGTGTTGGGATGCTGTGTAAAATACCTTTTGCTAGTTAGTCTAATTATTTTCAAAACTTTCGTTGCCTCCATCCCAACATTTTTGAGACATCTTTTGCTGCCATGAAATTCAAAATTGAATTCATATTTGTCATGAAATTGTAAAATGTCTCAGTTTCAACATTTGACATGTTGAACGAAATAGGGGATTTGCAAATCACTGCATGACTTTTTTTTGTAGTTGGTATTGTAAAAAAGTGCATCAGTGCTATTAAGATGGACATTTAGAGGAATACTGAGAATATAAGCATATTTGTATTTTAGATCCTATGGGTTTGTTTGTTTTTATCTTAGGGTGCTTGTGGGTCTTGCTGGGCCTTCAGTGCTGCAGGGGCCCTGGAAGGCCAGTTAGCCAAGAGTACAGGAAAGCTGGTGGATCTCAGTCCTCAAAACCTGGTGGATTGTTCCGGCAAATATGGCAACCACGGCTGCAACGGAGGCTTCATGACCCGAGCTTTCCAGTATGTCATCGACAACCACGGAATCGACTCTGATGCTTCATACCCATATACAGGACGTGTAAGTAAACACACAACTTTTATGTGGCCCTATAAGCACACTTTTGTGCTAAAAGAACATACCTACGTACTTAACTGATGTTTTCAGCTATAATATTAGTGATAGGTGAATGTTCATAAGGTAAAACCAAAACATCTGACTTCATTATTTACAGTAAAAATTGAGTAGACAGGAGCAAAGCTACTTTATTTTTTATTTAATCTAAGGAATGTTACTATTTTTTAATATGTTTATATAATGTTAGTTTATGTTGTCTTTGTCTAATTTTCAATTAAATATTGTGTTTAAATGATTTTCAGTCATCATATTCTGTTTTATTTTTGTTGTTCATACAATGTGAACAAATGTCTGTGAAGGTTCTCAGTCATCCAGGTCATCGTAGTCAAAGGAGCTTGGAAAGAAAAGCGTCTGGACTTCTTTAAGTTGCTTGAAGACGTTTCACCTCTCATCCGATTAGAGGATCATCAGGGGGTCCTTTTGTCCCTCTGTGGGGGGATACTCCCACTAGGTTTATATCTGGGACTCTCCACCATTTGACCTTAGAACTGAAGAAGCTTCTTGGATGAGAGGTGAAACGTCTTCAAGCACCTTAAAGAAGTCCAGACGCTTTTCTTTCCAAGCTCCTTTGACCAATGTGAACAAAGTTTTGCAAAAAAAATAATAAACACAGGACTCTAACACAAGCTTTACAAAACCCTGTATGAGACACCTAGGTGGGTGTATAAAAACCAGCAAGAAGTTGAGTCCGATCCTTCAGGCTGTAGACAGCAACACTCACACTTGTCTGTGGTCAGCTGTTAACGTCTCTTTGGAGCAACAATAAATTAATCGGAGCGGACAACATGTTTGTCCTCCAGGCTTTATGTAGTTCGCTGTTGTTTGTGTGGAGGAGGCCAGTTCTGAGACGATTCAGCAGACTGTTCCAGCCTCACGGGGGTGGCGATGTTTTTAATTTTAGAAAAAGATATTTGAAAAAGCAACTTTTTGATGTTAAATATTCTATAAGTATAGTGACCAACAATATTAAATATGGACATGACAATATGTGTGTATTTTGAAAAAATCTTTAGGTTTAGTTTTGTCCTGAAGTACAAATTATGAAACCACTGACTTTCTCTTTTATGAGTGAGGTGCAGTTCAGTCAAGGGAGAGCCTGTTTTCCAGTGTCTGGTGACTAAAGGGGTGGTTTAAAAAAAACTGCAGCTCATAATCCAAAATAATCCACAACTTTGCCAAAGTATCATTCATATGTAAAATGTCACATTAGAATGGGCAAGTAGAGCAAGCTCAAGGACTGCTCTGCTGGTTGGTGTCACTTCTAGTGGTATGAGGTCCCATCTCCCAGTTTGTTCAGTTCTGTCTAAGGCCTGCCTTGTATGTTTTTAAACAAGAATAATTTAAGATTTTTATTTTTTTTATTTTTTTTCCTGACTGCATCAGATCCTTTAACATTTTGTCCTTTAACTTCAGGATGATCAGTGCCACTACAACCCAGCAACCCGTGCTGCCAACTGCTCCAGTTACCAGTTTCTGCCTGAAGGGGACGAGAACGCTCTGAAGCAGGGTCTTGCTACCGTTGGACCCATTTCAGTGGCAATTGATGCTAGGCGGCCCAGATTTAGTTTCTATAGAAGTGGTAAGATACACTTCGTCAGGTGTCAAGTGTACTCTTGTCTATTAATATGGAAAAATAGTTTTGAGAAGTTTGGAGGAATGAAGATGTTTCGAGAAAAGCTTGAATTAATAAAACTTTATTGGAAATTATTGTTTTTTGCTTTTTGGAATGTTACAATGAGATTGGTAATTCTTTTTATCATTTCAGGAGTGTATAATGACCCATCATGCACACAAAAGGTGAATCACGGTGTGTTGGCAGTGGGCTACGGTACTCTGAATGGACAAGACTACTGGCTCGTAAAGAACAGGTGAGACATTTTCACTCCACTGATTTCTTTGGAATCTGGGTTATATATACAAAGTGATTTTATAGACAGGGCTTCTATTGTCTTCCACTATCTGTTCACTTATGTGGTGCATTCTGGGAGGACTCTACAAGACAAACAGGAAATGAAAGAGAGAAGTCAGCGCTTTTTAGGAAAGTACATATCATTAACATGCAAAGACTGATTGTTACATTCTGTTCAGACTTTCAGTTTTTGCTGACAGGACTAAAGTGGATTTCTTTAAATTATATATATTTTTAAACTTAAGCAATAACTCTCCAGACTGTTGGGCTGCGATATACCAGTTGGCCTCCATCATTAAATTAAAGTTTAATCAAACATTAGTTATTCCATGGAAACATCAAGACTTCAAAAGAATACAGCCAATCAAAAGTTTGAACATACCCATGTATATAAGTTTCCTATCTGTATTAATAATTAACCATGCACTGCACCTAGTTAAATGTAAAGAAGAAGAAGAAGAAGAAGAAGAAGAAGAAGAAGAAAGACAGCTTTGTTAATGTTTATTCATAGATTAAAACAAAACAACCAGCTGCTGAATGACATGTGGAGTTTTAAAAACTGTTTAATTTCATCAATGAGCTATTATTTCATAATGATTTTTTTTTTTTTAATTTTACTCTCCAGCTGGGGAACAACCTTCGGAGATCAGGGATACATCCGGATGGCACGCAACACAGGCAACCAGTGTGGCATCGCTTTGTATCCCTGCTACCCCGTCATGTAACTACAGTGTGCACTGAAATTAAATTCTTGCAAAAAAAAAAAAAAATTCATATATGATGACCCTTTTTTATATGATCACCTCGAAGCTGTAGTTTTTTATCTTCAAAAACTACAGCTTCAAACTAACGCCTTTTGGTGCTTCTCTTGAGAAATGATATCTTGAGGAGGAAGCATTATATTTTCTTTGGCTTGTGACATTGTGGAAATGCTAATGTTTCTATCTCTGTGTGTGAGTGCTTGTTTAAGAGTCTTTTTGTATGTTTTTTTTCTTCTGACCCTCTTCTCAAAGCTCAAGCTGCTTTCCGAAAAAGTCTCCTTAAAAGTCAAGATTCAGCAATTTCATTAAAAGATTTCATTTTTATAAGTTAGTGAGAAATATTTATCCCCAATGTTTACTGGGGAATTACAGAATACATGAAAATGTATTTTGTAACGTATTCTTTTACGTTACTCAATGAGAGTAACGTATTTTGAATACTTTGGATTACTTAATATATTATCATGCTTTTTACAACTACATGAATGTACTATTGCTAGTGATTTATTACTATTACTGAAGGTTATTCACCATACCAAAACCAACAGGATTTTTACATTTTAATATAAAATGAGTATCAGTAGGATGCACATTATGTATGTCGTATAGAAAACAATTCTGCGCGTATATAAAACAGGTCCGTGGCTCCGAACCATAAAAAAGGGTCCTCTGGCTAATACGGTGGGTTCCGTGTCGGCTCATAGCTGAAAACTAGCTTTACTTTGTTGTCTGGGTCAACTTTGCTAGCGAGAGACAGAGAGAGACGTTGAAAGGCTGCTCCAATGGAACTTACTGTTTCGGAGGAAAACACAAACACAGTGTACAGTCGAGTCTTAATAGCGTACTTACAAATGGGCTCCTCAGGCATTCTTTTTGGCTGCAATGGTTATTATTATATTTAGATGCTTCCAGCTCCCTTTTCTGGTCGGTGAATCTCGTACTTTTCAACTCTTTTTCTCCCTCCTCGCGCTCACAGACACATTCCACCGGCCTGGAATTCCCAAAAATAGAGATGGCATAGCCCAACATATGAAACAGAAAAATACCGCCGTGTAATCCATTCATTTCAACAAAGTAACTGTATTCTGAATACTACCTTTTTAAACGGTAACTGTAACGGAATAAAGTCACTCGTATTTTGTATTTTAAATACGTAACGGCGGTACATGTATTCCATTACACTCCAATACTGTGGTTATCATTAACTACTAAATCAGGGGGTAACCAGAAGTACAGACGTCTGTCCAAGGCTACAAGGTTTCATTAAAAATATGTTTATATCTATTGTAAAAAGCTGTGACTTTACCGGATGTTTAGCGCTGGACAATTGTATATTTTTTGACTGCTGCATTGTTGTTGATACTGATATTATGTAACCTGACTCAATATAAAAATAAAACATTGTCCAAAAATCTGGTTCCTTATTCACAAAATAAAGGACACGGAATTATAATATGTAAATTTATAGATGTTACGGTGATGGGTCTGTTACTGAGCATTTATGTTTTTGGACTTCTGGCCTTGTTTTCTTACGATGGTAGCGATTTATGTTTCTTAGTCCTTTTCTGGTATTATTTAGTTTCCCGGTTTAATCATTTAGATTTCTGGTTCTTAATTACTTTGAGTTAGTTCCCTTTTGTTCCCTCTCGTTTGTCTTTGTGTATCTTTATTATGTGAGTCTCCCTTTGTCCCTCGTCAGATCCTTGTCATGTTCATCATCCATCATGTTTCAGGTCTCAGGTTTCCTTGTTCCAGGTACCTTGTGTTTAGTTTTCGCAGTTTAGTTTTTGTTGGTTTAATCTTAGTCTCCCTTTTGCTTTGGTTGTATTTTGTGCAGTCAAAAATAAAAAGCTCACTTTCATTTTTGACTGCAGTCCAGTACCATGTCTTTAGTCTGCATTTGGGTCCACACTCTGTCCACTCTCCACACAGTCTGCCATCACAGACCTGACAAAGGGGGGAATATGTATTTATGTAAATATGCCTGGGAGGTTGAGGGTTTTAACTGATCAGGTACTGAATTGTGCATGTTATACAGCATTTTTGTTAAACAAAAAGGACGTTTAAAAAGAAGAGTTGCTTTCGTGAGGGTGTTTTCTTATTTTTGGATCAAATAAAAAATAAATCAGATTTCAGAGCAGCTACTGGTGCTGGAGTTGGTCCTTAAAACCCACATATCTGTCCTGCTAACACCTTGAACAAGGTCAGGATAAAGTCAACAGACTGCAGTGTTGGGTTACAAATGAGTCATTTTTAATTTTTTTAGTGCAAAATCACAACAAACAATTTTCACATGAGGTATTCAAAGGGATTTTCTTTGGTTGTTGATACAAAATGTCCCACCATGATTGACGTTTAAAGTTTTGTATATCTTTTTTTAAAGCCTTTGGTTGGTTAGCCACATTCATTAGCAAGGCAAGTTTATTCATATAGCACAATTCAACCACAAGGTAATTCAAAGTGGTTTACAGAGACATTAAAAAA